TCCACTCCTGCAGTAGGTTCTTGGTCTTCCGCCTTCTGCTGGTCCTCCTCCTCCCTTGGAGGGTCCACAGCCTGTCCCGTCGCAGTCACAGCTACAGCCTACCTCCCCTTTGCCTGCTCCTTCTCCCTACACTGGTCCTACTGGAGGTCTTACTGAGCGTCGTGAGCCTGCGTCTCGCCCTGCGTCGCCTGTCCGTACTGCTCGCGCTAGTGGTCGTGGTTCGCGTCCGCGTCCTCCTCCTGTCCCTGGCACGCACCGGATGTCTCTGCGTCCGTCCACTGCTCCTCTGCGTGCCCCTTTGCCTTCTCCTCCTGAGTCCTCCCTTCCTGCTCTTCCCGACCCGGAGTCGGACTCTCTTCGTGCTGCCAGTCCTACTGTCACGCGTCTCCTTGCTACTGTCGTCACTGACCCTTCTTTCGAGTCTACTGCTGCGTCTGCCCTAGTTGCTGAGCTCGTCGACTTTGCTGCTCGCTGCCGCCTAGACTACGCTGCTAGTCTTGTTGCTGAGTCTGAGTCTGTCTGTCCTCCGTCCGTCGGGGGTGAGTGTGCCCTTGGCACGGACGTCCTTGAGGACAGGCAGGAGGAGTTCCAGTGTCTGGCAGCTGCTTCACCTCATCTCGTGTCCGTACTGCTTACCCCTGAGGGAGACCCGGATGCACTTGACATCCCGACTCCGCGCTCTTACGCGGAGGCGATAGAGGGTCCCTACTCCTCTCAGTGGCAGGCAGCTATGGATGCAGAGATGGCTTCCTGGAAGTCCACAGGCACCTACGTTGACGCTGTCCCCCCTCCTGGGGCGAACATCGTCAGTGGCATGTGGATCTTGAGGGTGAAGCGGCCGCCGGGTTCTCCGCCTGTCTTCAAGGCTCGTTACGTGGCTCGTGGCTTCAGTCAGCGGCAGGGAGTTGACTACTTTCAGACCTTCTCCCCCACCCCGAAGATGACCACTCTTCGGGTACTGCTACACGTTGCTGCTCACCGTGACTACGAGCTGCACTCTCTCGACTTCAGCACTGCTTTCTTGCAGGGCAGCCTGCACGAGGAGATCTGGCTGCGCCGCCCACCTGGCTTCACTGGGTCTTTCCCTCCTGGTACCCAGTGGAGTCTCCGGCGTCCAGTCTACGGTCTCCGCCAGGCGCCACGTGAGTGGCACGACACACTGAGGACTACGCTTGCGGCTCTTGGGTTTGCTCCTTCTACTGCCGACCCGTCGCTGTTTCTGCGCACCGACACCTCTCTGCCGCCGTTCTACATCCTCGTGTACGTCGACGACTTAGTCTTTGCCACAGCTGACACTACTGGACTCGCCCACGTGAAGTCCGAGCTGCAGAAGAGACACACGTGCACAGACCTGGGTGAACTGCGCAGCTACCTTGGCTTGCAGATCACCCGGGACAGAGCACGCCGCACCATTACCCTGACTCAGTCACACATGGTGCAGCAGGTCCTTCAGCGCTTCGGCTTCACGTACTCCTCGCCTCAGGCCACTCCTCTGCCTACTCGCCACTCACTCTCAGCTCTGCCTTCGGATGAGTCCGTAGAGTCGAGTGGCCCGTATCCAGAGCTTGTTGGCTGCCTCATGTACCTGATGACCTGCACACGACCTGACCTTGCATACCCTCTTAGCATTCTTGCACGCTATGTTGCTCCTGGGAGACACCGACCAGAGCACATGGCTGCTGCGAAGAGGGTGTTGCGCTACTTGTGCAGTACGTCGGGCATGGGGCTAGTGCTTGGAGGGCGTAGTCCAGTGGTCCTCACTGGGCACGCGGACGCTTCTTGGGCTGACGACCAGGCTACGCAGCGGTCGTCACAGGGTTACACTTTCAGCCTCGGTTCCGGCTCTGTTTCGTGGCGGGCTACTCGCTCGTCTTCTGTTCTCGGCTCCAGTTGTGAGGCTGAGATCTACGCTGGGGCCATGGCTGCCCAGGAGCTTCGCTGGCTCGCCTACCTGCTGACCGACCTTGGAGAGCCGCCTCGTTCTCCTCCAGTCCTGTACGTAGACAACAAGGCCATGCTGGCCTTGTGTCGAGAGCAGAGACTGGAGCACAGAACTAAGCACATTGCTCTTCGCTACTTCCTTGCTCGTGAGCTACAGCAGCGTGGTCAGTTGCGGCTTGCGTACGTGGCCTCTGAGGCCAACACTGCTGATGTCTTCACCAAGGCTCTTCCGCCTTGTGATCATCAGCGCTTCTGCACTCAGCTGGGTCTTGTCCCTGTCTTGCCTCACTTGGTCACCCCTTGACCTTGCTTGTACTGTTACATATATATATACCTGCTCTTGCTTGTCTAGCCTTATCTATATATATATGTACTCCTGCATGTGAACTGGCCTTCTGGCCTTGAACTTGTGCTCAGAATGTGTGGTGACGTTGTGATCCACCCTGAGCTTGCCTTGCTTTGCTTTGCTTGACTGGTCTTGTGACCCCTTGTTCTCCCCCACTTTGCCTATGGGGGTGTGTCAGAACGTTATAGCTTATACTTTTGTGTAGGCTGTAGTGGGGTATCCCATAGGGGGTACAACCCAATTAGGGTTAGTACTTGTACCCACTTCATTCACAGTTCATCCACTCTTGTTTCTTCTCACCTTTGACCTGACAAATGCAGCGCGACAGCAAGGACAAACAACTGTCTCGATACTGAGCAGTTGCCCGAGTCGACACTGTATCGAACCGCAACAGCAACAGTAAAACAGTTATTAACCTTATCCTTTCATATTTCCTGTATCCTTATAAAAGCTTGTATCTCTTTATTTTAATCAATCAACTTTGCCCTCACATACAAGCGCAAGGTGGTTCACAAGTCTTTACTTAACGCTTCCACTATTACATTGTCCTACCTTTGAATTCTGTCCTGCAAAGATCCTAAGGGCCTTTTTCAGCCCAACAGAAGTCGACGTCGGCAGCAGGCCCGCTTGAATTCACGGACGTGTACGTACTCTGGCCTGATGGTGGCATTAGCCCTTCCCTGATCCTGCAGTCAGGGGGGGGGGGGGGGGTGGGGGGGTGGTGCTGTACGCTGTTCAGGGTAATACTCGCTAACGGAAAATCTACATTACACCATCAATGTCACCTAAACCATTACCCTTACGAATCAGGGTAATTGTATTCTCCAATTTTTTTACCCAGAGGCATCAGTTTGACCCCTAAAATTAACCCTTCTAATCAGGGTGTAAGTGTTATTTAAACTGATAAAATAGGCCCTGCTCTGATTGGTAAATTATATAACAAATTCAGATACTGGTTCTCTAGGAACTGCTATATTGTCAGTCAGATAAAGTAAGACTTATCTGCAACGCGCAGCAGCGTACAAATTTGATATTAAACCGAAGTTCATCGAAGTCATCCAGTGTTCGTGGGTCATTCAGCCCGAAACCATAGCAGAGCTGACTCTCTGATTGAGCAACTGCCGCACTTCACCGTTCTGGATATATCACCCTTACCTAGAGCCGTCGTATGCGGCGCTTATTGCGCCTAAGGCGATTCGGTCAAGAGCTGGTTTCCGTCAAATCGATTTCTTTGTTACGCCGAGATTCATCGCGTAGTTTCTCCGTGTGCGCGCGTCCGTGTTCCGCCCACCCGCTCCGCGCATCCGTACTTCCTCCAGCTGCCCATTGCCCCTCAGCGCTTCCCCGGATGCTTCCGCAAGGGCATCCGCCCCGCGCCCTTGCGCAAGGCTCTGCGTACCCATCCGCACTGCACGTCGCTCCCCGTGCTCGTACGCATGTGCCGCCAACATCCGTCATATTCACCAACCCCGCAATTCCGTTAGTAGCACTCCCGTTGACGGTTTCGCTGCAGTCGCCCCAACATACTGGTCAGAACCGGAGCGGCCTAGGGGTAACCAGATTCAGAACGAGTAGGTCAGATCACAACGGTCTAAGATTCAGCAGCATTTTTGGGTCAGATAGTCTTGGGCAAAACGGCTTCAGCCAGACCAGTCGTAGGCAGGGCGGTTCAGGGTTTCGGGTTTTATGTGCCAGCGGGCAGAATGGGCCGTCGCAGAGAGGCAGATCTTATGGGCGGCAGCAATTGTCAGATGCGGCTGCTAACGCGGACGCGCCGGAAACCGCTGACGTGGATCCCTTTTTTGCAAAGCGACAGGAGGTTTGGAAACGGTGGGTGGGGAATAGCAGTCCGATAAGCAAGAGAGAATCCGCAGGGTCGGACGATGCCGACGCTCCTCGTCAGTCTCGTTCGAATGCCGAACCTCGGAAGCAGGCTCGGGACAGGCCCGGTAGCCGGGACGTTCGGAATGATAGATCCAACCAATGGCAGCAAGTAGGCGGTGACGGAGAAGCGACACGTGGAGTATCCTCGAGAGACTCGAGACCCTCGCGGCGAGACTCGTCCTCGTTAACAGGTGCTTCGTTACAAGCCCCGTGGGAGTCTGCAGCGCCGTCGCAGAGGGGATCAAAAGTTCGAGAGGAGGAGGAGGGCAACAGGGGGAGTTACCGGGGGGGCGGGAGGGACGGAGGGGAGAGAAGAGGTCGTGGGGACGACAGGGGGGCGGGGCGGGGCGCGTATGAGGTGTATGGGGATGTGAGGGGGCAAGGCAGGTACGGGGAGGGGAGAGAGCGCGGTGTCAGTGGCGACAGTGGGCGTGGGGGGGCGACTTTTGAGTCGACTCAGAAGTCGTATGGTGATGTGAGGGGGCGAGGCAGCTCTTGGGAGGGGAGAGAGCGTGGTTATAGTGACGACAGTGGGCGTAGAGGGGAGGGGGAGAGAGAGCGGCGGAGGGGAGATTGGGAGGGGAGGGAGGGGGAGAGATGGAGTGGAGGAAGGGAGGGGATTGCGGGGGAGAGGAGGCGGACAACCAGCGAAGGGAGATGGCGAGGGGAGAATTCTGGTGGAGGGTTCAAGAAGGGTGCAGGCGAGGTTGAGGGTTTTGGAAGAAACCAGGGAAGGGTTTCAAGTTCTCAATCCAACAGGGGCGCCTCACGGTTGGGGGAGCGAGGGGATTATGATAAGAGCAGGGTGGGGAGATACGATTCACCCTCCATGCCTGACCGCCTGGATGCTCCTAACAGATGGACAGGGCGAGTGGGAGAAGGAAGAGAAGAAGAAGGAGAAGGAGAAGGAGAAGCGGTGTTTGAGAGGCCCCAAAAGGCACGAGGCCGGTCGTTTCTTGAGAACTCTCAAACGCCAGGGCGCAGGGGAGCAGGAGGAGGAGAAGAGGAGGAGTTTGAGTGGGCTCGGAAGGGACAAGGGGGGTATGGGAGCCAAGGCAGCGAAGGTAGTGCGGGCAGTGGGGACGGGGAGGGGTATGATGAGGAAGAGCTGTTTGGGTGGTCGTCTGCTGATGACTTGGAAGCGCAGCTGCAGCGCGAGGAGCATAGGTCCGTGTATGTCCCACGGGCAAGGGCCCCCAGAGGGTTGCAGCAGCAGCAGAGACAAGTGCAGGGGCAATCGCAAGGTCAGCAAGGAGCTAGGCAGGAGCAGTATCAGCAGGAGGAGCAACAACAGCGGGGACAGCAGGAGCGGCAGCAGCAGCATGAGCGGCAGCAGGAGGAGGAGGAGGAGGAGGAGGAGGAGGAGGAGGAGGAGGAGGAGGAGGAGGAGGAGGAGGAGAAGGAGGAGGAGGAGGAGGAGGAGGAGGAGGAGGAGGAGGAGGAGGAGGAGGAGGAGGAGGAGGAGTGGGAAGGACAGTATGTGGATGCGCTCTCTCAACAGCAGCGGCAGCAATGGCGGCAGCAGCAGCAGTGGCGGCAGGAGCAGGAGCAGGGGCAGGGGCAGGAGGAAGACGTAGCAACGTTACCCTCCTCCTCTCCCTCCGCGTCGTATTCCACTGCCTCTGAAAGACAGAACTGGCTGGGCTTATCCGGTCGGAAAAAACCGCTCTCCGCCGCCCAGAAAGACTAGTTTTTCAACGTCACGCCGCCCGAAGGCGATCCCGAAATCGCCCCACAAGATCCGCACTTCCCCTTCCAGTACAGCTACTCCGAGACCCCCACCACCCCTCCGATCGGTTACCGTGAACCCCCCTTCTCCCCCTTCGGCCCTGCCACCATGTCCCGCCCCTGGACCGGGCGCGCCCCGCTGAAAAAGGCGAAAAAAGGGGGCGGGGTGGGTAATTTACCCCGGGTGATTCCGGAGTTTGACTCGTTTGTGGCGCCGAGGCGGAAGAGGGGGATGAAGGGTGTGCAGCCCCCAGGGCCGTTTGGCGAGGGGGAGGGGCCACGGTATGTGCGGACTAGAGAGGAGGTGCTGGGGGCGCCGCTGACGAGGGAGGAGGTGGAGGAAATGGTTGCTGACTGCAACAAGGGAAGGCGACAGGTCAACCTAGGTGAGCTCACGTGTGGTGGGGTGGGGTGGGGTGGGGAGCGGTGGGGTGTGGTGGGGTTGTGGTGGTATTGACTAATGGGTGCTGGGAACTCCGCTGACGAGGGAGGAGGTGGAGGAAATGGTTGCTGATTGCAACAAAGGCAGGCGGCAGGTGAATCTAGGTGAGCGTGTGTGTGTGGTGTGGTGAGTTAGGGTGGTTTATGGTTGGCTCTTGCGTGCTGGGGGCTCCGTTGACAAGGGAGGAGGTGGAGGAGATGGTGGCAAACTGCAATAAAGGCAGGCGGCAGGTGAGCCTATCCGTAGTGTGGTGGAGTGCGGTGGGGTGTGGTGGGTTGTGATGGGGCTCACTGAGAGGCGCCTGGGGTTCCGTTAACGAGGGAGGAGGAGGAAGTGATGGTGGCTGATTGCAATAAGGGGCGACGACAGGTGGTGAGATGAGCTAATGCTAGAGATCAGACACACGCACTGGAAGCGGCGGCGGTGTTGCCATTTGGCAGGTCACCATGACTCTCTTTCCCCTGTATCACACCTATCACACCTATCCACCCCATCCACCCCATCAACGCCCTCACAGGTCGAGACAGCCTGATTCACAACATGCTGGAGCGGAGCTCATTCACACGCACTGGAAGAGGCGGCGGTGTGTTCTGTTCCCCCTCTCATAGCTCTTCCCTCCCTCCCATCACCCCTTTCAACCCCCTCCCCTGCCAGGTCGCGACGGGCTGATTCACAACATGCTGGAGCTCATTCACACGCACTGGAAGAGGCGGCGGTGTGTTCTGTTCCCCCTCTCATAGCTCTTCCCTCCCTCCCATCACCCCTTTCAACCCCCTCCCCTGCCAGGTCGCGACGGGCTGATTCACAACATGCTGGAGCTCATTCACACGCACTGGAAGCGGCGGCGGTGTGTTCTGTTCCCCCTCTCATAGCTCTTCCCTCCCTCCCATCACCCCTTTCAACCCCCTCCCCTGCCAGGTCGCGACGGGCTGATTCACAACATGCTGGAGCTCATTCACACGCACTGGAAGAGGCGGCGGTGTGTTCTGTTCCCCTTCTCATAGCTCTTCCCTCCCTCCCATCACCCCTTTCAACCCCCTCCCCTGCCAGGTCGCGACGGGCTTATTCACAACATGCTAGAGCTCATTCACACGCACTGGAAGCGGCGGCGGTGTGTGAAGGTGAAGTGTAAGGGCGTGCCAACTGTTGACATGGACAACGTGTGCCACGTGGTGGAGGTGCGTGGCCTTGCTTGTGAAGTGAGCACGAGGGCTAGTGCATGGAAAGCAACACACTGGTGGACTGTGGTGGGTTTCTTGGTTGTGTGAAGGTGAAGTGTAAGGGCGTGCCAACTGTTGACATGGACAACGTGTGCCACGTGGTGGAGGCGTGGGGGGTGGAGTGGCGTGCCTTGCTGAGACTGTTGAGGTGCGTGGCTTGCGGAGTTGCGTGGGGTGTGGAGGGAGCACCAGTGCCTGGGCATGGACGCACACGCATGAACACACGCAGCCATGGGGAGCGCGAGTGCACGCACATGGTGTGTGAAAGTGCAGCGAAAGGGCATATGGAGACAGAAGGGCATGGTGACAGGGGACAGTTTGGGGAGATTTCAAAAGGGCATGCCGATAAGGGACAAGATTCACACTCTTCTCTTGCCTTTTCCCTGCGACCCAAGCAGGACAAGACAGGTGGAAGGACCATCAAGCGTCAGGGCGGCACCCTCTATGTGTTCCGAGGGCGCAACTACAACTACCGCCTGCCCCCGTGCCTGCCTCTCATGTTCCTTCCCTTCAGGACTCCTTCACCTCATGACTCCTTCCGTTCCCTCCGTTCCCAACCAAGCAGGACAAGACTGGAGGCAGGACTATCAAGAGGCAGAGAGGCACGGTCTACGTGTTCCGAGGGCGCAACTACATTTACCGCCTGCGCCCGCGCCCGCTCTGTCCTCTCCGTGTTCTGTTTCATGTCCTTCCTCATTTGAGCAGGACAAGACGGGTGGGAGAGTCATCAAGCGCCAGGGCGGCACCCTCTATGTGTTCTGAGGGCCCAACTACAACTACCGCCTTCGTGCTCTCCCTGCTCTGTTTCGTGTCCTTTCTCACTCGTACGGGACAAGACGGGTGGGAGAATCATCAAGACGCAGGGCGGCACCCTGTACGTGTTCCGAGGGCACAACTACAACTACCGCCTGCTCACCCGCCTGCTCTGTCCTCTCCCTGTTCTGTTTTGTGCAATTTCCCACCCAAGCAGGACAAGACGGGTGGCAGGATCATCAAGAGGCAGGGCGGCACCCTCTATGTGTTCCGAGGGCGTAACTACAACTACCGCTTGCGCCCGCGCCTGCCGCTCATGCTGTGGAAGCCCCCTGCGCCCATCTACCCCAAGCTCATCCAAGACGCCCCTGGGGGGCTGACTCTGAGGCAGGCGCAAGAGCTGAGACGCATTGGGAGGAAGATCAAGCCCCTGTGCAAGCTAGGTGCGTGTGTGCATGCATACAGCCACAGACACACAGACGCTCTCACCTGTACCGCTCTCAGCTGTACCGCTCTCAGCTGTACCGCTCTCAGCTGTACCGCTCTCAGCTGTACCGCTCTCAGCTGTACCGCTCTCAGCTGTACCGCTCTCACCTGTACCGCTCTCACCTGTACCGCTCTCACCTTGAGGCAGGCGCAGGGGCAGCGGCGCATTGGCAGGAAGATCAAGCCTCTGTGAAAGCTGGGGACGTGTGAATGCACAAGCTAAGAACTTGCTGAGTCCCTGCCCTTGCCTCTCGCCCCTCACTCAACTCCCATCCCCTCTCTCCTACTCCTCCGCCCCATCCGTCCCCATCCCCTCACCACCCACCCCTCTCTGCCCACCCCAGGCAAGAACGGAGTGTACCACCGGCTGGTGGGCTTGGTGCGGGCAGGATTTGAGGAGGCAGATCTGGTGCGGGTGGACTGCAAGGGCATGAACAAGAGCGACTACAAGAAGATCGGCGCAAAGCTCAGGGTGAGTGGGTGTATCGGCGGTGAGGTGATGCAATAACGGTTTGAGGCGGCGCACCTGGTGCGAGTGGACTGCGCGGGGATGAACAGAAGCGACTGACAAGAAGATCGGCGCAGAACAAAGGGTGAGTGGTTGGGGAGCTTTGCTTGACACGGTGTTTCAATCACACCTTGTAACATTTCTATGACTTTTGAGACGTCTCAAAAAACGGTGCTTCAATCACACCTTGTAACATTTCTATGTCTGAAAAATCAGGCCCTCTCATTGGCTGTCTCACCCTCTTGCCTCCTCTCACCCACTTGCCTCCTCTCACCCTCTTGCGTCCTCTCACCCTCTTGCGTCCTCTCACCCCTTGCTTTCTCCCCACATCCTTGCCTCCTCTAACCCCTTTGCTTCTTCTCATCCCCTTCGCTGTGATTGGACCCCACCAGGACCTGGTGCCATGTGTCCTGCTCTCATTCGACAAGGAGCAGATCCTCATGTGGCGTGGGCTGGACTCGCAGGAACCTTCTCCTGAAGCTTCCCCAGAAGTAACCTCGGAAACTTCCACAGTGGCACAGGCAGAATCAGCCATTGCAGGTTCAGTGGCAGACGGGGGAGGGAACAATCCGGCAGGAGAAATTGCAGGCGGGTTGGTGGGAGGTGGGAAGGTGGGCATGGGGGCTGGGATGGAAGGAGGGGAGGAGGGGAAGTGGGAGGGTGTGTGGAAGTTTGATGTGGAGGATGAGGGGGAGGTGGAGGTGAGTTTGAGTGTGGATGCAGATGGCGTGCTGGTGGTGGGTGGGGAGGAGGGGGAGGAGGAAGGGGGGGAGGAAATTGGTGGTGGTGTGGATGGGGATGATTGGGAAGATGAGGAGAGGTGGGGAGAGGAGGGAGGGATTAGGGATGGTAGCAGCAGAGATGGTGGCAGTGGGAGTGAGGGAGACTGGCATGAGAGTGACACTGACATCGGCAGTGAGAGAGCAAGGGGCCATGCGGAAGGAGTTTCCCAAGGATTATCTCAACAAGGCTTTCAAGAACAAGGCTATTCAAGCCATAAGAAGGCGTTTGGTAGTGGAAATGAGCTAATGGGTTCGAATACTGCTGTGTCGTCTTCCTCTACCGTTGGAGGTGAAGCGGCGTTCGACGAATTTGAGGAGCTCTGGGAGAAGGCGACAAGAACTGGGGAGATAACGCCACTGGATGGCGTGAAGTAATCGCGCTAATCGACAAAAGGACCCTTTTTAGACAAGGCTTAGATATACGGTACAAAATAGTATGTCGGAGATGGATTGTTCAAACCGTACTAGATGATGGAGATGCCCGATAGACTAAAAATGAGTCAATACCGTACTAATGTGTTTCTAGCTAAGTACAGTGCAGTGCAAGTTCAGAATTGTGAGTTGCTTTTAGGTTTGAATGTAATGAAGGAATCACGATTGCAATTGCGAGTCTGCACCTGGTTTTGTAAAGGAGCGGGTTCACCCTTCCCAACCGACCGCCCAGGTTTTCTGTGATTGGCCAGCAATGCTGGCTCGACTTGGAATCACTGGCTGGTGCAGACTGGAGTTCTCGAAGCGAGTCTTCCCTCACACCACCCCGCCTTGGGGTTGGTTGGGAACTCATCGCAGTGCGACATACCAGACTCGTGAACACTTCCCCTCGTCGCCGAACAGAGGTTGGTGACGGTAGTGCTGGTCAGCTGTTTTGCTCGACTTTGAAGGCATCGCGCTGGCTTCCATTACGAATTATTTTTCCGCTCGCACGGGTCGCAGGGTCTCCTCTCCACCGTCGTACAGTTTACTCCAATGTTCTACAGTTTCCCTTCCTTCCAGATCTTCCATTCCAAGCCCACCTTCTGGCTGGCCATAAATTCAAGGAGTCTCAAATTAGTCCCTTGGGAACTGGCTCAGCTTTCTCCTACCGTTCTTGCTAATCCAGCCCACCCAGAGTTGCTGATAGCAGATCGGCGACAATGGTGCGTCTTTACCTTTCATCTGCCGCTCCGAGTCGTGAAAATGGCTCTTTTCTGGTAGGTTATTTCGATTGTCACTAATACATTGTGTGCTCTGCTATTTATTTGCTTTCTTTCGTCTTTGCAGGGTAGGAAATTGTGGTGCCTTTTCGTGATCGCGCTCCTAATATGTGCGTCCATTCACTCCGCCGACGCGAAGAAAAAGAAAAAGGTAGTAGTGGAGGAAGAGGAGGCAGCAGATGAGGGAACCGCCGCGGCTGAGCCGAGCGACGAGGGCGACGCAGATGAGAAAACCACCAGCAAAGCTTCCAAAGCAGAAGCTGAAGTTTCAGAGGATGAAGACGCAGAGCCGCCTGCGAAACCCTTGAAGTCGTCGAAAAAAGCCAGCAAGCTCAAGAAGGCAGCGGAGGAGGACGAGGGGGAAGAGAAGGAGGAAGCAGCAGCAGACGCTGACGAGGCCGATGCCCCTGCTCCGAAAAAGGTAAAGTCTGCGAAGAAGGCGAGCGACGACGAAGAGGAGGACGCAGACGCTGCACCTGTCGCTAAGAAAAACGCTGCAGCGGACGACGAGGAATCTTCCGCGGAAACGGAAGACGAAGAGGAAGCTCCTGCGGCGAAAAAGAAGCCTGCAGCAAAAAAGAGGGCTGCCGCCGCGGAGGAGGAAGCAGGTGAAGATGAAGCAGCCGAGGAGGAGGATAAGCCGAGCAAGGCCGCTGTAGCTAAGGCCGCTAGCGCTAAAGAAACGGATTCCGGGGAGGACGAGGAAGCAGAAAGCGAGAAGGTTACGGCGACTACAGCCGATGAGGACAAACCGAAAGCTGCGAAGGGCGGCGTCACGGCTGTTTCTAAGGAGCCTCCTATGGAGTCGGCGAAAGTCCCAGCCACGGCGTGGAAGTCGAAAAACCAGACCCGCGACGACATTGATCCGCAAGGTTCGCATTCTCGAGATTGCTTTGACGCGACCGCATTGATACTCACCTCACCTCTTAGATCCTTTGTAGCAAGATCGTACGGCCGACGCGGTAGGATTTAAACTGAAACGAATTTATTTTTTCGCAATTCAGGTGCTTGCAAGCGGGACATTGCGCTTCACTGCCAGGGGATGTTTGAGACGACTCAAAGCATCCTTTTTTATCACGATTATGTTTTTTGCGATTCAGGTGCTTGCAAGCGGGACATCACGCTTCACTGCCAGGGGATTACGCCCGGCGAGGCTCAGCTGTCGCTGTGCCTCGTCTTCCACATCAAGAACGAGAAGGCCGGCAACGAAGTCGCCAGTAAGCTCCGCGCGAGAATCAATCTCCGTTGTTGCAAACTCTTTCCAACCGTCGTTTCAAAACACCAGCCGTTTCGCGATTCGGAGCGTAGGATTCCGAGAACGGTTTTCCGCCGTGTTGTCTATCGTAAACCGTTCATTTGCCTGATGCTCCCTCCTTCCCTCCACCTCTCGTGCGGTTGGCAGCGATCATGGTGTCCAAGAAGTGCCGAGCAGAGATCCGGCAGTTTCGATCCGACATGTACAGGGACCTCTCCATGGACAAGGCCATGTGTGCGTATCCCTATCCCAAGCTTCTCTCGCTCCTGTGAAGGATGAACAACCCCTACCTCCCTGTCCAAAATCACGTTCATCCTTTGTTCCGCCGCGTTAAATATGTGCTTGCGTTTCATTTTTTTTTATGACTCCCTCGTGTCCTTATGACTGTATTTGGGGGGATTTGGGATCCGGTTCGTTGCGTGGCTGGCTGGCAGCGACGGCGTGCAAGGCGGACATCACCAAGTTCTGCGACGACGACTTCCTCTATCCGGAACCCGGCAACATCATTGCTTGCCTCAGGTACGCGAATGCTCATGCGAAGACAGGCGAATACACAACCGTTTTTTCCAACGCACAGTCGAGTATGCTGACGTGAGCACGGAAACGAAGGGTATGCTATTTTTTTTTTATTATTATTTTTATTACCACCAATCCAGTTGAATGCGGACGTGTGACCGGATGCGCTTATTGGAAAACGATTAATTTAACGATAACAAAATGTGCTGAAATATTGTTCAGGGAGGTGAAGCAGGTGGAGAAGCTGCAGGACGCGTGTCTGGCGGAGGTGCTGCGGCACCAGATGGAGGCGGCGGACGACTTTGTGATGGACCCGCAGCTGCGCGAGCTCTGCAGCGGCGAGGCCGACCGCCTCTGCAAGGGCGTCGAGCCCGGGGAAGGCCGCGTGCAGAACTGCCTGGTGAGTGATGTGGTGGCACACAGGGAGATTTACGGATAGGGAGACGGACAGGCAGACTGGCAGACGGAACGACGGACGCACAGACGGACGGACGATCATGACGTTTTGTTCAGGACGCGTGTCTGGCGGAGGTGCTGCGGCACCAGATGGAGGCGGCGGACGACTTCGTGATGGACCCGCAGCTGCGCGAGCTCTGCAGCGGCGAGGCCGACCGCCTCTGCAAAGGCGTCGAGCCCGGGGAAGGCCGCGTGCAGAACTGCGATGGTCAGTGTGGCGCATTGGGAGGTGCCTTAGAAATAGCAAGGGCGTCGAGCCCGGGAGAAGGTCGCATTCAGACCTGCCTGGTCAGTGTGGCTCACAGGGAGACTAGTTTTTAGGCGCCTCAGAAATAGCTCGGGCACGGGACTCGGGGAAGGGCGCGTCTAGAATTTCCTGGTCAGTGTGGCACACAGACACAGGGAGACTAGTTTTTAGGCGCCTTAGAAATGGCGAGGGCGCGAACTTGGGGAAGGCCGCTCAGAACTTCCTGGTCAGTTTGGCTCACAGGGATGACGGACGGACAGGCAGACAGGGAGACGGACGTTTAGACGAATAGGCAGAAGGACAGGTAGATGGACAGGCAGACGTTGGAGACGTACGTTTAGACGGATAGGCAGAAGGACAGGTAGATGGACAGGCAGACGTTGGAGACGTACATTTAGACGGATAGGCAGAAGGACAGGTAGATGGACAGGCAGACGTTGGAGACGTACGTTTAGACGGATAGGCAGAAGGACAGGTAGATGGACAGGCAGACGTTGGAGACGTACGTTTAGACGGATAGGCAGAAGGACAGGTAGATGGACAGGCAGACGGACAGAGACGACCAGGCAGACGGACAGGCAGACGGACAGACAGACGAACAGTCAGACGGACAGGCAGACGGACAGACAGACGGACACGGACAGGTAGACGGACAGTCAGGCTGGCAGACGGAGACGGACAGACTGTCACAAGTCCACAGACGGACAGAAAGATTGTTTGTCTTTTAGTGGTGATTGTTTCTTTCTTAGAGCATGCTAATAGTGGGGTTGTGGTGGTGTGGTTGCGCTGTGGTGCAGAGGGAGCACCGCACGAAGCTGGCGTGGGATTGCCAGGCGGAGCTGTTCCGCCAGGAGGTGGAGAACGCCGACGACATCCGCCTCAACGTGCGCCTCTTCCAAGGTGCGCCCCCTTCCCACCCACCCGCCAGGACATCTTAGAACTCGATCACTGAGATGTCTTAAAACAGGCGGAGCTGTTCCTCCAGGAGGTGGAGAACGCTGATGACATCCGCCTGAACGTGCGCCTCTTCCAAGGTGAGCTTTCCCGCCCACCAGGTGCGCCTTCTCACCCCTCCAGGTGAGCCTTCCCACCCTCCAGGTGAGCCTTCCCACCCTCCAGGTGAGCCTTCCCACCCTCCAGGTGAGCCTTCCCACCCTCCAGGTGAGCCTTCCCACCCAGCAGGTATGGTATGGCCTCCCAGCCAGCAGGGATGGCTTTCCACCCATCAGGTACGGCTTCCCAGCCATCAGTTGGGCTTTCCCAGCCTCAACCTGTCCCTATTTCCGTCCCTATATGTGTTGCCTTCTGCTGCCCTTTTACCACAATGTTCCCCCTTTTTTCCACCCTTAACCCCTCCAACCTCCCCAACACACCACCACCCCTCCCCCCCTTCGATCTCCGCTTCTCTGCGGCTTCTCTGCGTGTGCAGCATGCCTGAACGACCAGCGCAAGTTCTGTGCGGACGTGAAGTATGGGGATGCGCGTGTGAGGGACTGCTGTTCGAGGCGCCTCAAAATGATTTTCCTTCCCTCCCTTTCCGTGTCCCCTTCCCTGCATCTGCAGCGTGCCTGAACGACCAGCGCAAGTTCTGTGCGGATGTGAAGTATGGGGATGCGCGTGTGAAGGACTGCCTGGAGGACCACCGTCTCGACGACGAGTTCTCCCCTGGCTGGTATGCTTCCGAATCTGTTCTCTATGCATCCTGCCGTTCGTTTACTTCCATGTGAGATCTGTTGCTTTATTCCCTGCCTCACCTCACCCCCTCTCCCCTTTTTATCCCTGTTTCCCATTCTCCGCGTTCCCCTCTTCCCCCCCTCTCCTGCCCTAACCTTCTCCCCGGGCAGCAAGACGGAGTTTGAGAAGATGATGGCGCGGAGGGCCACGGACTTCAGGCTAGATTCGCGCCTGCGCAAGTACTGCAAGGGCGACATTGCAGAGGTGCGTGTGGGGGGGTGGGGCAGTGTGTGCAGAGCAGAGGTGCATGAGTTGGGGAAGGTCTGGAAAAGTGCAGAGCAGAGGTGCGTGCAAGGGAAGGTGGGGGAAAGTGCAGAGCAGAGGTGCGTGCAAGGGAAGGTGGGGGAAAGTGCAGAGCAGAGGTGCGTGCAAGGGAAGGTGGGGGAAAGTGCAGAGCAGAGGTGCGTGCAAGGGAAGGTGGGGGAAAGAGCAGACTTGAGGCTGGATTCGCGCCTGAGCAAGTACTGACACTCCAGAGGTGCGTGTGTGGAGAGGCATGCCAGAGGTGCGTGTGTGGAGAGGCATGCCAGAGGTGCACGCGGGCACGCGTGGGTTGGGAGGGGGGGTGACGAAACAGTGCAGAGCAGAGGTGCATGCAAGGGGAGGGGGCAGTGCAGCTTTTTGCGTTAGGAGGAGGTAGAGGGAAGAGGTGCATGCAAGAGGAGCATTGCAGAGGTGCGTGGGTGGGTGGCCATGGTGGAGGTGGTGTGCACACGTGGCGACATTTAGGACGTGGCCAACTGCAACGCCCTCTCTCCCCTCTCCCCCCTTCCCACTCCCCCCCCCCCACTCCCTCCCATTCTGGACGTGGCCAACTGCGACGCCCTCTCTCCGTTCTCCACTCCTTCCCTCTCCCAGATCTGCTACCTTGATGCAGAGTCCATATCAGAATTGGCCAATTGCAACGCCTTGCCTCCCTCTCCTCCCTCACACTCGTCTTCCCTCCTTCCCTCTCTCCCGCCAACCCCCCCACCTCTCTCCAGATCTGCTACCCGGATGCGGAGGACATATCAGACGTGGCGAACTACGATGCCAAGGTGATCCAGTGTCTGCAGGACTACCGAGACGAGCTCAAGGACCCCAAGTGCAAGGCGCAGGTGCACAAGCTGACGGAGAGGGAGATCGACATCCGCTTCAACAAGCCCCTTGCTGATGCCTGCGAATGTGAGTGGTTATGCTGCTAAGGCGCATCTGTGAGGCGCCTTAAGAATTAGCGCAGGCAGGTGCACAAGCTCACGGAGAGGGAGATTCATATTCGCTTCAACAAACCCCTCGCCGACGCCTGCCAAGGTCAGTCTGTCTGTGCTGCTCGCCTGCCAAGTTCATGGTTGTTCCCTGCCAAGTTGAGCCTATGAATCGACATATGAGGGGGAGGTCGACATCTGTGTCAATAAAGTCATCTTTGACGCTTGCGAAGGTGAGTGAGTCTGCTAGACGCCTTGAGAGACAGCGCAGACAGGTGCTTAAATGGACTGGGCTGGTCATTAGCATCCGCGTTAAGAATCTTGTCGAGAATGCCTGTCAAGGGCTGCAGTGACTTTTCCTCATCTCCCGTCCCCTTTTCTCTTTATGAGCTCAGTCTGGCTGGCTCCTTAGTTGCGGAAGACGCGTCTAGCGTCTTAGACGCGTCCGTCTAGACGCAGCGACTAAGACGCTAGACAGTGTAGATTAGACGCAGTATTAGACGAAAACCCGGGCAGGCCTAAAAAAAATGTTCGGGCAGACCAAAAAAAGTTCTATGGGGCATGGGGAGGGTGGGGGACATGCACCTATGTCACAATGGGGTGAATTTTTCCCCGTACCATAATTTTTTCCCCATTCTTAGACTTCACAAAAATCTTCACATCTCATCATATATAGTTGGGTTTCCATGTCTCTCTAGTAGTAGCAAACTTGAAGAACATTACTACTACTACATCTCTCTCCTATCACTACGCCTCCTAAATGCGGCGGAAGTAGCTAAACCCTAAGGGTTTTCGAAAGAGATTTGGAAGAAATGAAGGTAGGGGAGCACAAATGAGGGATTTGTGCTCCCCAACCTCTTGGTGGTTAGCCATAGAGGTTGGGTTTTCTAGATACCAAGCGGTGAAGTGTGGTTTGTGTTCAATTTTGGTTGGGGGGGATTCAAATTTGCTTAGGGGGCTGGTTTTTGTGGTCGAAACGGGTGGGAAGGGGTACTAATGGCGCGAAATTGAATTTCGCATCGAAATGGAACTGCCCAAAAAAATTTCGCCCAAGCGTCTTCCGCAACTAAGGCTGGCTCTAACTGTTGCATTGCGTTGTTCTTCTTTCCCCCGTTTTGTTCTGGATTCTTGTTAAGTTTCGTGTGTATGTATCCACGTCCTAAATTGCTGTCCTCCTTCGTCTCCACACGCCCATGCCCCCATCCCGCCGCGCCCATACCCCCATCCCGCCGCGCCCAGCTGATCGCACCACGGTGTGCAAGGACGCACCGGACGGGCAGGCGTCGGTCTTCATGTGCCTGCAGGACCACATGCCGCAGCTCAAGGAGGCATGCCGCAACTCCGTCTTTGAACAGGTGAGGAGAGAGCTGTGCCACATGCGTCAGGCCAGGTGGTAGTGATAGCTCACTCGCACAGCAATGAGCAGACCTGCTGCAGGACCACATGCCCCAGCTCAAGGAGGCGTGCCGCAACTCCGTGATTCCCTTTTGCACCCCTCTCCACCGCTTTCAACTCCCCCAGCTGGTGCGCATGGCGGAGGACATAGACTTCAAGTTTCCCATGAAGAAGGCGTGCCAGTCGGAGCTTGGCAGAGGAGATTGACTTGTACGCATTCATTCACCCCTTCACACTCCTCTCCACCCCTCTGCGCCCAACGAACCCCCCTCCTCTCCCCAGCTGGTGCGCATGGCGGAGGACATAGACTTCAAGTTTCCCATGAAGAAGGCGTGCCAGTCGGAGCTTGGCAGAGGAGATTGACTTGTACGCATTCATTCACCCCTTCACACTCCTCTCCACCCCTCTGCGCCCAACGAACCCCCCTCCTCTCCCCAGCTGGTGCGCATGGCGGAGGACATAGACTTCAAGTTTCCCATGAAGAAGGCATGCCACTCGGAGCTCGACAAGTTCTGCAAGGACGTGCCGCACGGTGAGTTATACTCGATTATTGAACTCACGACGAAAGCCATGCTTGAACTCACGATAAGTCAAACTCGTGCTGATATCCTAAGGCAATCTGCCCAATCCTTCCCATCATCTCTCCCTCCCTCCGTCAAATGTTCACCTGTCGCCCCCAGACCATGCCTCATGCCTCAAGTGTCTGCAGGACCGCATTCCCCCCTTGCAGGCGATGTTCTAGAGTTCTCCAAACACGCCTGTCTTCCTTCCATGGCCACTCACTGCACTCCCAGTGCCGCCCCGCCCCTGCGTCCATCGCTCTTCTTTGTGACAACCTCCTTCACCTTCCCTCTCTCCTGCCCCCCATGCGCCCATCACCCGCCACCAGGCCATGCATCGCGCATAAGTGTCTGCATGACCACATCTCCTCCTTTGCTCTTCCTCTCACATCCTCACCCACCTTCCCTCTCTCCTGCCCCCCATGCGCCCATCACCCGCCACCAGGCCATGCATCGCGCATAAGTGTCTGCATGACCACATCTCCTCCTTCGCTCTTCCTCTCACATCCTCACCCACCTTCCCTCTCTCCTGCCCCCCATGCGCCCATCACCCGCCACCAGGCCATGCATCGCGCATAAGTGTCTGCATGACCACATCTCCTCCTTTGCTCTTCCTCTCACATCCTCACCCACCTTCCCTCTCTCCTGCCCCCCATGCGCCCATCACCCGCCACCAGGCCATGCATCGCACATAAATGTCTGCATGACCACATCTCCTCCTTTGCTCTTCCTCTCACATCCTCACCCACCTTCCCTCTCTCCTGCCCCCCATGCGCCCATCACCCGCCACCAGGCCATGCATCGCGCATAAGTGTCTGCATGACCACATCTCCTCCTTCGCTCTTCCTCTCACATCCTCACCCACCTTCCCTCTCTCCTGCCCCCCATGCGCCCATCACCCGCCACCAGGCCATGCATCGCGCATAAGTGTCTGCATGACCACATCTCCTCCTTTGCTCTTCCTCTCACATCCTCACCCACCTTCCCTCTCTCCTGCCCCCCATGCGCCCATCACCCGCCACCAGGCCATGCATCGCGCATAAGTGTCTGCATGACCACATCTCCTCCTTTGCTCTTCCTCTCACATCCTCACCCACCTTCCCTCTCTCCTGCCCCCCATGCGCCCATCACCCGCCACCAGGCCATGCATCGCGCATAAGTGTCTGCATGACCACATCTCCTCCTTTGCTCTTCCTCTCACATCCTCACCCACCTTCCCTCTCTCCTGCCCCCCATGCGCCCATCACCCGCCACCAGGCCATGCATCGCGCATAAGTGTCTGCATGACCACATCTCCTCCTTTGCTCTTCCTCTCACATCCTCACCCACCTTCCCTCTCTCCTGCCCCCCATGCGCCCATCACCCACCACCAGGCCATGCATCGGGCATAAGTGTCTGCATGACCACATCTCCTCCTTTGCTCTTCCTCTCACATCCTCACCCACCTTCCCTCTCCTGCCCCCCATGCGCCCATCACCCGCCACCAGGCCATGCATCGCGCATAAGTGTCTGCATGACCACATCTCCTCCTTTGCTCTTCCTCTCACATCCTCACCCACCTTCCCTCTCTCCTGCCCCCCATGCGCCCATCACCCGCCACCAGGCCATGCATCGCGCATAAGTGTCTGCATGACCACATCTCCTCCTTCGCTCTTCCTCTCACATCCTCACCCACCTTCCCTCTCTCCTGCCCCCCATGCGCCCATCACCCGCCACCAGGCCATGCATCGCGCATAAGTGTCTGCATGACCACATCTCCTCCTTTGCTCTTCCTCTCACATCCTCACCCACCTTCCCTCTCTCCTGCCCCCCATGCGCCCATCACCCGCCACCAGGCCATGCATCGCGCATAAGTGTCTGCATGACCACATCTCCTCCTTTGCTCTTCCTCTCACATCCTCACCCACCTTCCCTCTCTCCTGCCCCCCATGCGCCCATCACCCGCCACCAGGCCATGCATCGCGCATAAGTGTCTGCATGACCACATCTCCTCCTTTGCTCTTCCTCTCACATCCTCACCCACCTTCCCTCTCTCCTGCCCCCCATGCGCCCATCACCCGCCACCAGGCCATGCATCGCGCATAAGTGTCTGCATGACCACATCTCCTCCTTTGCTCTTCCTCTCACATCCTCACCCACCTTCCCTCTCTCCTGCCCCCCATGCGCCCATCACCCACCACCAGGCCATGCATCGGGCATAAGTGTCTGCATGACCACATCTCCTCCTTTGCTCTTCCTCTCACATCCTCACCCACCTTCCCTCTCCTGCCCCCCATGCGCCCATCACCCGCCACCAGGCCATGCATCGCGCATAAGTGTCTGCATGACCACATCTCCTCCTTTGCTCTTCCTCTCACATCCTCACCCACCTTCCCTCTCTCCTGCCCCCCATGCGCCCATCACCCGCCACCAGGCCATGCATCGCGCATAAGTGTCTGCATGACCACATCTCCTCCTTTGCTCTTCCTCTCACATCCTCACCCACCTTCCCTCTCTCCTGCCCCCCATGCGCCCATCACCCGCCACCAGGCCATGCATCGCGCATAAGTGTCTGCATGACCACATCTCCTCCTTTGCTCTTCCTCTCACATCCTCACCCACCTTCCCTCTCTCCTGCCCCCCATGCGCCCATCACCCACCACCAGGCCATGCATCGGGCATAAGTGTCTGCATGACCACATCTCCTCCTTTGCTCTTCCTCTCACATCCTCACCCACCTTCCCTCTCTCCTGCCCCCCATGCGCCCATCACCCTCTTGCAGGCCACGCATCACGCATCAAGTGTCTGCAGGACCACATTGACGATGCCGACTTTGGGGAGGCGTGCCGCAAGGAGGTGCAATCCGACCTCGTGCGATCAGCACAAGGTGAGGGCTCATTGGGATATGCAATATGGTGCTGACGGTAAAATATTGAGGCGCCTAAAAAATCCTGACGGTAAATGCATGCACACAGTCAGGTTCGCGATGCGACTTTGGAGAGGCATGCCGCAAGGAGGTGAAATTCGTCCTCGTGCGCTCGGCACAAGGTGAGGGCTCTCTTGGCTGTGCAGTATGATGATTCTTGACAATGGCGCACACGCACACAGTCAGGTTCACAAAGCAACTTTGGGGAGGCGTCCCGGGTGTGTTTACCCAACATCCAGCAGCAGTGTCTGCACTGCACTCATGGATTCCAACTGCCCTTCACCCACCTGTTACCCTATCACCCAACCCCCCTCCCTCCCCAGACTACCGGCTGAATTACCGGCTGCACAAGGCGTGTCTGCCGGACATCCAGCAGCAGTGCCTGCATGCGTGCGACGCCGCCTCGGCCAACGGCACAGCCACGTGCGGCGGCATGGTGCTGCGCTGCCTGCAGGACAACAAGGCCAAGCTGCAGTCCCCCTCCTGCACCCAGGAGGTCGACTCCTTCAGCGTGATCCAGTCCAAGGACCCGCTGTCCCTGGATGTGCCGCTGCAGAAGGCGTGCCAGGGGGATTTGGTCAAGCTGTGTCCCGATGTGAGCCGGGACCATGCTCGCACGCTCTCCTGCCTGCGGACTAAAAGGGAGAAGCTGTCAACCTCGTGCCGGGAGGAGGAGATGCGATTCAGCATCATGGAGGTGGGTCCTGGGTGGTGGGGTGGGTGGTGGTTCTGTGCGATGACTGGGTGTGTGGAGGTGTTGGTACGATAGTCATACTGCTTCTTCCATCAAGTGCCTGAGGATTAGGAAGCAGAAGCTGTTGATGCTGTGCCAGGAGAGGGTGTTGGGTATGGTGGCATCATGGTGTGGGTGTGGAATCTGGATGGTGGCAGGTTTTCTCTGTTCGCTGAGGCGTTGTTGCTCTGGTAGACTTACACCTCATTGTTCTTCCGGTCCCCTTCTCCCTCTTCCATCTCCTTCCCCGTCTGTTCTGTTTGCTCCGTGTGCCAGGCATCGGACATTCGCCTCACACCATCCCTCATGAACGCATGCGGCCAAGGTGAGCCACTGGCACAGATAGGGCCAAGGTGAGCCACTGGCACAGATAGGGCCAAGGTGAGCCACTGGCAGGTGACGTGAGTCGACTTGTGCCAGGCATCGGACATTCGCCTCACACCATCACTCATGAACGCCGTGCCACAAGCCATCCTGCATGCAGTCCACCTATTTGGCAGGCAAACCATGTGCTCACCCTGCACGCATGCGCTCACTTCACCACTTGCTCCTCCTACGTTCACGCCAACTCCTCTTGCCCTTTGGGTCCTCGCTGCTCATTTCCCCATCTCCCCTCTCCCCGTCCTATTCACAGAGCTCCAGAGCCTGTTGAGCTGCATGTCCCCTCACAGAACCTGTCCCCCTCCCCCCCCTCTGTTACGACTGTGGTTGTTTGCTTTGTTTGCTTCTTATTGAGTATACATCCAACCCCCGCCCCGCTCCCCCTTTTCCTTTCGCCCCCCCTCTCCCGTCCCCCTCCCCAAGAAAAAACTGTCCCCTCGCTCTTACTTACCTTTTGCTTCCCCTCTCCCCCCACACACGTACCTGGTCCTCCCACCCACAGAGCTGCAGAGCCTGTGCCGCGATGCGCCCCCCACAGAGGGGCAGGCGTTCAAGTGTCTGCAGGAGCACCTGCAGGACGTGGGCATGGGCGCCGCGTGCAAGGGCGAGGTCAACCTGCAGGAGGCACGGCACGCCTCCAACTACCGCCTCGACGTGCGCGTGCGCAAGGAGTGCGAGGACGATGTCACCAAGTTCTGCAATGGCGTGGACGCGGGGCAGGAGGGGCATGCGCTTGTGCTCAAGTGCATGGTCGGCAGCTTCAAGAGCCTCTCCGCGTCCTGCCAGTCCGAGGTGCGTCCTGCCAGTCCGAGGTGTGTCCTGCCAGTCCGAGGAGCGTCCCTCCCTGCGTTTGGAAGGGAAACGACAGCAGGTGAGCTCAACCCAAATTGCCACCTCTTTCCTCCCGGTCCTCCCCCTCCTCTCTCAGGTGTCCTATGTGGTGCGCATGGCGCTCGTCCATTATCACAAGGTGGATCACAGTATGGACTTTTGAGACGTCTCAAAAATGGCTCTCGTCCATGATCAAAGGTGGAGCACAGTATGGAGTGATCGTATATGGAAACTGGCTGCATGGGAAGCCCCACCTCCTCTCCATCACTCCCCTCTCCCCCCATTTTCCCCCCTTTCCCCCTCTCTCCTCCCTTTCAGGTGTCCTATGCGGTGCGCATGGCCCTCTTCCAGTACCACAAGGGAGCAGCACTCACCCAGCCGTGCGACACAGCAGTTGAAGAGCTCTGCAACACCGGCAGTGCTGCCGCTGCCACCACGCCCGTCAAAGAGATCAACGGCGCTGTCATCGGTGTGTACGGGCAGTGCCTCGTGTCGCAGAAGCGGCAGCGCCTGCCGGAGGAGTGCCGCACGCTAGTGAAGCTGGTGGCCAAGGAGGGCGCATATGTGGGCGGCACCGTGGACCAAAACAAGCTGGAGGAGACCCTCATGAAGCTCAAGGCGGTGAGGCCCCTGGGTGCATGGGACGGGATGCAGTGCGGTGGAATGGGGTGTGATTGATGTGTACGTATGTGTAGGTGCGGTGCGGTCTGGTGCTGGGTGCGGTGGGTTGCGGTGGGACGGGATGAAGTGAACCGTGGTGTGATGGGCGCGTATGTGGGCAGCACTGTGGACCCCAACAAGCTCGAACAGACCCTCATGAAGCTCAAGGCAGTGAGGCTGAGGCTCTTCGGAGCATGGGGTGGGATGTAGTGCAGTGGGGTGTGGTGCGGTGAAAATTGGTGGTGTGATGGGCGTGTACAGGCAGTGCCTGGTGTTGCAGAAGCGCTGTCAACCACAGGTTCACGAAATCACTTTTGAGAATTCTCATAAGTGATTTCAACATCGCAGAAGCGCTGTCAACCACAGGTTCTTGAGCCCCACTGTTCCAATCACTAAACACCATCACCATCCACCAATCCGCCACTCTTACCCATCCCCTTCCTCTTCCAAGCAGCTACAGGAGGCAGCAGCAGCGGCAACAACAGCAGACGGCGGGAGGATCGTTGCTGACGACACAGGCCTTGTGATTTCCGGCTGGCTGACTGCTGCTGCTCTCACACCTGTGGTCATTGTCGCCATTGCCATCGGCTGTGCCGTTTACCACAGGCTCTTCAGCCCGGTTGCCCTGAACTCAGCCAAGCACTTAACACCAACACCTCCCTGCCTCCTGCTCCTTTCCATGTGCTCCCCTCCCTCCCCTCCCCTTTCCCTCTCCAAGCAGCTACAGGAGGCTGCAACAGCAGCGACAACAGCAGACGGAGGGAGGGTGGTCCCTCACGACACAGGCCTTGTGATTTCCGGGTGGCTGGCTGCTGCTGCTCTCGCAGCTGTGGTCATTGTCGCCATTGCCATTGGCTGTGCCGTCTACTACAGGTTCTTCAGCCCGACCCGCAACTACACTCTGGTTGTCAAGTCCGCTCCGGGTGCTGTTGGGGTGTAGATGTGAGCCGACTCAGTAGCACCTGCTGTGCCGACTACTCACAGGTTTCATCCCCACTCACGGTCACACTCTGGTTGTCAAATCCCTTCCTGGTGCTGTAGAGTTGAGACAAGCCAATTCCACTGCGCTGTGCAGTTTTGCAACCAGAAGGACCAGCAGTTTCGGTTCCATACTCATTACCGTGAACCAGTTGATAGAGATGTGGAGGATGTTGGAAGATTATGTTTAGCAGTGAACCAACACTGCACAGGAACTGAGTCGTACAGCCTGACCCTGAGTCCAACAGACGCAGGATGATATGTAGATAGCTCTATTACAGGGTTATATACAAAGAAAACTGAAATCTAGCAGCCTTATCGTGAGAGATTGTACATCTGATCATGTGCTGTGCACTCTCTAGCTAGTATAAAAACTAGAACTAGCTTTACAAACTCTGGAGGGAGGATGGGGTGGGGGCACTGCACTCAGGAGGGAAGGGTGGGAGCAAGGCACCTTGCATGGCATGAGATACGCCATTGCTAGACCACATCCTTCCAGTGGTTCAAACAATCCATCCAGTCACACCACACGGGGTGACCCTGTAGTCAGACACTCAGAGGTCGTCAGCTCACCATCTACGCTCACGTATCCACGTCCTTCCAGTGGTTCAGATAGTCCATCCAGTCACATGAGATCTGCCCGGGCATGCACGCCTCCCGCCTCGGGTCCTTCACCTCAAAATCCCAAAATGCCGCCGGCACATTCTGACTCTTCAACTTCCTCATGCGGAACTCAATCTCCGCCTTGTGAATGTTCCACAGCCAGCAGTGCTCCTGCAGACCCTCTGACATCTCATCATGGATCTTCCACCACCTCTGGTGCGCCGCCTCATTAGCGTATGCGTGGTCATATGGGTACAGCCACGTGCAGTCAAAGTCGCGATAGCACTGCCAGGGCTTGCGGCCGAGGTAGTGAATGGTGTGGATTTCAGCTGGTTCCTCCGAGAACCACCGGTTCTTCATTTCTAGCTCGCGAGATCTGCGGGGCTCATCTGTTGCCCAGACGTGCTTCAGGATGTTGACCGAGTCGGGCAGGCGATGCCACCAGGTAAAGTAGTTGTTGAGATAGCCCTGGGGGATTGAGAGGGGAGGAGACGGGTGAAAAAGAGAGCAGTAGTGCTGTGGGATTGAGAGGTGTGGATCTGAGTGGGCTCCTCTTAGAAACAACGGCTCTTGGTCGCCAGCTGGAGGGATCTGTCTGCGCACCTCCTCCGGACGTGCCTCCTCTTAGAACCACGTGCTTCAAAACGTTGACTGAGTCGGGCAGGCAGTGCCACCATGTGGAGTCGTTGTTCTGGTAGCCGTGGGGGAATTGGGGAAAGGGGCGAAAAGAGGGAGGAATGGGGAAAGGGGGTTGAAAGGGGTGAGCAGACGTGCTTCAGAATGCTGACCAAGTCAGGGAGGCCGTGCCATCACGTTCGGTAGTTGTTTAAGCGGCCCTGGGTTGAGTTGAGAGCAGTTGAGATGGGTGAATGCAAGAGTCTGGGCAGGAAAGTGGGCACGAACCAACCCTGACCATGAGTGCGTGCGTGTGTACGTGCAGTGCAAGCACACAATCCCACCTGATCGCCGCCGATGGGCGAGCGGATGGTGTGCACGTTGACCATCGTTGACCATCGTTGACCATCGTTGACCATCGTTGACCATCGTTGACCATCGTTGACCATCCCGAAACTATCCCCAACCATTTCCACCCATCAATTTCACCCATCCCCAAGCGTGAATGCGCCCAAGCAAGCATGCTCCCACCTGATCACCGCCGCTGGGCGAGCGGATGGTGTGCACGTTGGCGAGAACCTCCCGGAAGGTGCATGCGGAGGGGCATTAAGAAACCCATCCCCAACCATCCCCAACCGCCCCAACCCACTCAGCCGTCCACAATCCTTCCCAAGCGCCCATCATCGCACCTGATCACCACCGTTGGGCGAGCGGATGGTGTGCACGTTGGCGAGGAGCTCGCGGAAGGTGCAGAGGGAGGGGCGCAGCAGCATGAGGCCCGAGTTGAAGTCCGTCTTATCGTTGCCTCGTGCCGCCACGTCGGGGAAGGCGAAGAGATGATCGAGATTGCGCAGCACCAGCAGATCCGCGTCCACGAATATGACCGACGAGTACTCCACCAGCTGCCACAGCCGCAGCTTGCTGGAGTCATGGGGCGTGGGGAGGGGGAGAGAAAGGAGAGAAAGGAGAGAAAGGAGAGAAAGGAGAGGTATTGGTACTCTGTCAGCTGCCACAGCCGCAGCTTGCTGGAGTCATGAGGCGTGGGGGTGTGGGGGGGGAAGAGAGGGTGGAGGGTGTTGAAGGGAGGAAGCAGATTGTGCAGCACCAGCAGATTCGCGTCCACGAGCACCACTGAGGAGTACTCCACAAGCTGCCACAGCCGCAGCTTGCTGGAGGTATGGGGGGAGGGAAAGGGGGGAGGTAAGGGAGGAGGGGAGGTAAGCGAGGCGCAGCACCAGCAGATTCGCGTCCACGAGCACCACTGACGAGTACTCCACAAGCTGCCACAGCCGCAGCTTGCTGCAAGCAGGGGGTGAGACGTCTCAAAACTTGCTGCAAGCAGGGGGTGAGGGGAAGTGGGTGCGGTAAGGAAGTGAGAGGGGAGAGAGGTGTTGGTACGTCAGCCGCCTCAGCCGCAGCTTACCGGAAGCAGCAATGGGGGAGGGGGGGAGCGAAGAGGTGGAGATAATGATTGGCTACTCACACCAACAGTGCATCGTACCAATCAGAAGGTAGGTGTTCTCAAACGGCCTGCTGAGAAGCCAACACTGCAAAACTTGGATAATAATGTCACACAGAGCAAACCTTCAGCTCCACTCGTTATAAGAGCTCTTCCTATGGAGCCTAAGACCTTACCTCGTTACAAGGCCACACACACACGCACCTGTAGTTCCACTCGTTATAGGTGTTCTCCTGCGCAAACGGGTTTCGGATCCGCTCAATCTCCTTGACGATCCACCCGGCCTCCCCGAGCGCGTCGCGGCTGCGGTTGCTGATTTCGCGCGACACCAGCGCCACCTTGTCGTGGCGGCTGCCGCTGCGCCGAATGCTGTGCCCCAGCACGATCGCGCCGCACACGTAGAATTCGGAGGTGTGCAGAACGGTGGCGTACGCCACTGAGCCCACAGCGGGCGGGTCTTGAGGAGGGAGGGAAGGGGGTGTGGTAGAGAGTAGAGTAAGAGGAGTGCTGTGCCCCAGCACGATCGCACCGCATACCACTCCGAGGTGTGCAGAACGGTGGCGTACGTCACTGTGCCCACAGCAGGCGGGTCTGTCAGCGGAAGCGGAGTGGCGTAGTGGTGAAGGACAAGTGGAGGAGAGGTGGGGAGAGACGGAAGAACAGAGGAAGGCGGGGACAAGGGGGTGAGGGGGAGGCGGGAAAGAGGGGAGGAAGACAAAAAACGAGTGAAACGCGGAGAGAGGCGGCGGACATGGATGGTGACCTCTCAAGGCACTTCACCCGAAGGTTAATCCAAAGGGGTTTAATCCAAAGGCTACTTTTCTTTACCTTGTCTGGTTGGTTGAGCCATGCCGCAAGACCCGAGCGGCTGTATTTTCGGTGCCACGTCAGCAGCGGACATGTTGAAGAGCCACACGGACCCCTGGTTGCGGACCAATCGGCTGCAGTGGAAGAGATTCGGCGGCGGGCGACACGGGGAGATGAGCAGCAGCGGCACCCATGGCTTGTTCATCTGGCTCAGGCACAAATAGTCGGAGAGACAACGCGAAGAGACAGGAGGAGAGACAGGCGGAGAGACAGGCAGAGAGACAGACGGAGAGACAGCGCGCCTGGGTGAGCCACCAATTGATAAATTTATTTTAAAAAATGTTAAACACTTTTCTAGTTTCGAAGCGTGACGAATATCACCAGTGGTTACTCGTATACTGCGCACCTTGGTAACCATTTCGGCAAGCAGAAGCATCTGATGCATCCAGCGAATATCTTTCGCCAGCGTGTCGATCGGCTTTTCGCACGGGACGCGTGCGACGATCGCATCCACGTCGCCCAACCACGAGGGCGTTTCAGGCTGCGGAATTTCCGGGCAGGACGTCGCCAGCGATTGGTTGACCCATTCAGGGTAAGCGTCCTTCCATTGGAGATTATCCGGTACGGACGTTACAGGTACTGAAAGAAACTCGTACGGAGACGCGTACGATCGTAAGCCGGTACCATCATCCAGATTAAGCGACGCGATGCGACGTAATTTCAATCCGTGTTGACGGTCCCATGAACTAAGAATCGACAGCGCGTGCCGTCCGTCGATACCCGGAGAGGAAACCAACGGTCGGATGGGAAGGATATCTTGAAGGATCGAACGGCAGGTGGTGGTGCTGCATGTTTTGCAAAGAAAAAGGGCAATCAGCGCCGCCAGAAGAATTAGGAACAGTCCAGATTTGCGCTTCCCGCTATTTCCAACACCGGTACTCGCAGCACTGATTACCGTGACATCTAGTAAACGAAAGACAGACGTAGCGAATCGTGGCCTAATATTCGGAGAGATCAACGGAGACATTCTTATTCCTTTGCAGGATTGAGGACCAGTAGAATCAGTGGGTCTTATCATAGGAGACGAGCTCGGGGTTCCATTGGTCAATCGATATCCAGGAGGGGACTTCATTGCTTGAGAATCAGAAAGCGATCATGGACCGAGTAAGACGTCTAGACGTAGTGGTTTTTCTTAACAAGCTCTTCTGCCGATATAACTAAACGTGTTTTTTCTAGCAGTGGTAAGCTAGTGAGTATTCTGTTGGCACCCCCAGAAGACCAACAAGGACGTAAAGAAGGGCCAATCTTGCTGCGTAAAGACATAGGGAGCAGGCGAACGCAAGCGAAACGAGCTGTGTGTAACTTGCTAGGGCGCGAGAGGTGAAAAGATGGTGCTTGATTGGGGGCAACAAAAGAACCATATGAAAGAAGTGGGGAGCGCGCCTAGTAGTGAGAGGAATGTGATTGAAGCCTCGGTTGAGACGGAAATGCACCCCCAGTGTTGAGGAAGTTCCCTAACAAATTTAAGGTTCCAGAAAATGTATACGAGGTTGTTGGTACTGGACCCTCACAGACACGAACGCTTCTTGCATGCTTCGGCTCCCATTAGGTTCCTGACAGTAATCTCCTTCACAACACCCATTTGGGAACGAGGGAATAAATAATTTCCACCCTGGTGCTGACACTCGCTTTGAAGCATTTCTCTGGATTCTGAGAGGTCGCCGCAAAGTAGCGTTGACAAGCAGGGGATAACCTCATGCATAAACCTGGAAACGACTCTGACACCACTGTGTTCTTTTTAGAATTTCGGCAGGATGGCGGCTGCCTGCTTGTGTTGAGTCGAGCGAACCACATGTGATGTGATGTGACACAAGCGAGTGCGCGACTCCGTTGCATTCCCGAGGAGGTGCGGGAACAGTTCCAGTGAACCTCTGCTGAAGTCAAATCAAGACATGAGACTGGCTGACACGTTTGTGTAGGTCACAATCCCGAGACTTGTGTGCACTGTACAGGTACGGATGGAACCTTTTCACCAATCGCACAACAATTGAGCTCCAGTCAATACTCCATATTGAGCTCTCCGACGTGGACGCCACGAAGTGCATAGCTTCTGTTACCAGAGTGACATACACTCCTGGCTTAGTGCTCAGAAGTACACTCACCCTCATTACTGTCTCGCTCGCTAACACGCCTAACACCATTCTTGAGGGGCAACGTGCACATCATGCGACACCGCGACAGTGACGCAGCAATCTAGGCGGTTCGACCCATTAGTCAATCTGTCCATCCCCGATTCGAGAGGCGCATGCGGTGCCCTCAAAGCTAGCCCCGCTTTCACCCAATCAGGTGCAGGAATTTGAACAGCTTTCACAATGCGGGGGATCAGCGGCCCCGGCACTCAGCAGCACCAGCAACCCCCCTCCATCACCCCCTTCATCCCCTTCTGTCCTCATCCCCTTCATCCCCACCTTTCCACTTCCCCCCACCTCCAACTCCCCCTCTCCCATCCCATCGGCTGTAATGAACCAGATCTGTCGAGTCGACTCGACAATAAATCGCGGAAATGTCATCCCGACCATGCCAAGTCGACCTTGGGAACATCGCAACCTCGGTTCTTCCCAAGCAGGTTCTCACCAACCCCTAGGTGATAAGTCAGCCGCTGGATCTCCACAGTAACATTCCGGAAAACCAGCAGACTCTGTCCTGTCACGCTTCACCTCCAAGCGACCGAGTCCCTGGCCTTAGGCACATACCACGGAAATGCAGTACGTCCCTGCTATCATACTCTCATCACCACCTTGTCAGTAAACCCAAGCTTCGGACTCAGACGCGCTCGCAACCTCCCGTAGTTCTCACCACCCAGTCTCCATAGGTCTTTAAACCGCCGCCAGGGAAAAGAGTTGTCTAACTACCATAATAATCCACCTTCATAGGAGCACCTCGCCATGTCGATGCCACCCACCCGGTCCCCCTCCTCGCATCCTCTCCTGTCTTCCTCTCAACCCCCCTCTGACGCCGCTATAAGCATCCCCGACAAGCTGCAAACATCCAGCCCCGTTAAAAGATCAGCCAGTTCCGGGCAAGCCGCACCGGCGAAACCACCGTCACACAGCCCCAAGCGCTCGACCTCCGGTCCCGCCGCGCACGCCGTCCTGCTCGGCGACAGTCCCGGCGCCTCCTCCGTCGCATGGCTGCGCGACACGTGGCATGAGCACGCCAACCGCTCATTGGCGCTCGCAACGAAGCTCACTGGGTTTCAAGGCTGCCCGTCTCCCGTCGGAACCCCTGGCTCCCTGACCAATGGCGCTGCATTTTCCTTTCCGTCGTCCTCTCTCTCATCTTCTCTCTCGTCTTTCACTAAAATTAATTCCTTCACCAGTACTGCCGGTTCTGTCTGTGGAAAGAAGCGGCTCGCGAGCTCCCGGGAAATCTGGGTCGTTCTCCTCTCCTTCCTCTCGCTGCTTCTCCTCGCCGACATGCTGCGAAAGAATCACATGTTACTGTTACAATCCGCGACCGTTGGAATCGAGTTCCTCTTCGTGCTCTCGCGCGAAAGCGTGTACGCGCGTGGCTTGCGCGTGCTCTCCACGTGGGAGAGGGACTCCGGAGTGCGCTTCGCCAATGTGGCAGTGGTCAACATGGAGGAAGAGGAAGTCGCGCGTTTCAATGCGACGCGTCGCCTAATCCCGTTGGCGGTTCCGCACGCGCCGGACCATTTAGACTGGAATCAGTTGTACCCAGAGTGGGTTAACGAAACGACACCAAACAGCTGCCCGTATCTGCCCGAGGCCCGCTGGCAGAGCGGGCGAAAGCAGGCGGACGCGCTGTTGGCTCGCGTGGAATGTCGCGAGCCGGTAACCGGATGGGCGAAGGACGTGGAGTGGCAGCACATGTTACTGTCGCTGGCGAACCTCGTCGTTCAGGCAAGTCGTTTCGTGCAGGTGCCGGTCTGCACGCATATCACCATGCCTTGAAATCAACGGTCACGCATTGCCAATCATTTTAAGCACGCCTCTCTTCCCTCCCTCGCCTCCCCTGCACGCCACACGGAGTCCCGCTTTCCCCCCCTTCCCCCTACTTCCATCCTTCCTCACCCATCCCTGCCCCACACCCACCCCCACCTCACTCATTTGGGGTTCCCTCTTCGTACCACCCACCCCCACCCCCTTTCTGTCGTCAGGCCGATAAGCCGTGGATGCCGCTTGTCCTCATCTCCGAGTGCCGGCCTCCGTTAAACCTCTTGCCGTGCGACCGGCTGGTTAAACGGGACGGGCCGGTCTGGCTGTACAACCTAACGGCCAGCGATCTCCGAACCCGGCTGCAACCGGCAGGATCATGCGGCATGGCGCAACCAACATTGACCGCTGAAGGTGAGTGAAACGTTCGGCATTAGAAACACTGAAAAGGATTCGTGTTCCGCAGCGTACGGTACAATGCTGCACCCGGGCGGCAGCTCTTCTTGTGCAGTCTTTTGACTCGACTCAAAAGTCATCCCGCATTGTAAGTGAAGCAACAATGCTGCACCCGGGCGACAGCTCCTCTTGACTCTTGAGTAGTCTTTTGAGTCGACTCAAAAGTCATCCCGCAGCGTAAGCGACAGTGCCGCATCCGGGCGACGGCTCTTTATGAGGCGCCTCCAAAATCTTGACAATGCTGCATGCGGGCGACCGCTCTGGGGCACAGCATTCGCAACATTCCGCTTGTTCTACCCCACCCTTGCTTATTTTTCCCCGGCCCACTTTCCTCCCCTTACCCCCCCTCCCCCCGCTCCCCCCCCCTCTCTTATCCTTTCCCCGTGTCCCTCTCCCCACGCCAGATCTGCCCGCTATAGGCACAGTGGCGTACGCAACGGTGCTGCATTCAAAGGAGAACTACGTGTGCGGCGCGATCGTGCTGGGCCACAGCATTCGGCGCAGCGGAAGCCGCTACGACATGGTGGCGCTGGTTTCGCCGGAAATCGGGAACCGCAGCCGCGACGCGCTGCGCGAGGCGGGTTGGATCGTGAAGGAGATCGAACGGATCAGAAACCCTTACGGCAGCAAGACATCGTACAACCAGTACAACTACAGGTACAGTAGATTCAGTGAAACTACAGATACAATTTAAGAAAGGGCGATGTTAAGCACCCCTGAAAGGAAATTTGTTTTTTTTTAGGTCTTCCTCTTAGAATATATACCCCACGATATGAATTGCTGCATCTCCCTTACAACGTTCCCCGTTCAACAATATTTGTAGCAGCAAGCTGCGGCTGTGGCAGCTGACGGTTTACCAACACCTCTCTTTTCTCTATCCGCGCCCCCCCTTCCTGCCTCCAGCAAGCTGCGCTTGTGGCAGCTGGCTGAGTACTCTTCTTACCGCCCTCCCCTCGTTCTTCCCCTTCTCTTCTCCCCTTCCAGCAAGCTGCGCTTGTGGCAGCTGGCAAAGTACCAACAACTCTCCTCTCCTTCCTCTCCCCCATTTCCCTCCCCTATGCTAACAGCAAGCTGCGCTTGTGGCAGCTGACAAAGTACCAACAACTCTCCTCTCCTTCCTCTCCCCCATTTCCCTCCCCTATGCTAACAGCAAGCTGCGCTTGTGGCAGCTGACAAAGTACCAACAACTCTCCTCTCCTTCCTCTCCCCCGTTTCCCTCCCCTATGCTAACAGCAAGCTGCGCTTGTGGCAGCTGACAAAGTACCAACAACTCTCCTCTCCTTCCTCTCCCCCATTTCCCTCCCCTATGCTAACAGCAAGCTGCGCTTGTGGCAGCTGACAAAGTACCAACAACTCTCCTCTCCTTCCTCTCCCCCATTTCCCTCCCCTATGCTAACAGCAAGCTGCCCTTGTGGCAGCTGACAAAGTACCAACAATTCTCCTCCTTCCTCTCCCCCGTTTCCCTCCCCTATGCTAACAGCAAGCTGCGCTTGTGGCAGCTGACAAAGTACCAACAACTCTCCTTTCCTTCCTCTCCCCCATTTCCCTCCCCTATGCTAACAGCAAGCTGCGCTTGTGGCAGCTGACAAAGTACCAACAACTCTCCTCTCCTTCCTCTCCCCCATTTCCCTCCCCTATGCTAACAGCAAGCTGCGCTTGTGGCAGCTGACAAAGTACCAACAACTCTCCTCTCCTTCCTCTCCCCCATTTCCCTCCCCTATGCTAACAGCAAGCTGCGCTTGTGGCAGCTGACAAAGTACCAACAACTCTCCTCTCCTTCCTCTCCCCCATTTCCCTCCCCTATGCTAACAGCAAGCTGCGCTTGTGGCAGCTGACAAAGTACCAACAACTCTCCTCTCCTTCCTCTCCCCAATTTCCCTCCCCTATGCTAACAGCAAGCTGCGCTTGTGGCAGCTGACAAAGTACCAACAACTCTCCTCTCCTTCCTCTCCCCCATTTTACTCCCCTATGCTAACAGCAAGCTGCGCTTGTGGCAGCTGACAAAGTACCAACAACTCTCCTCTCCTTCCTCTCCCCCATTTCCCTCCCCTATGCTAACAGCAAGCTGCGCTTGTGGCAGCTGACAAAGTACCAACAACTCTCCTCTCCTTCCTCTCCCCCATTTCCCTCCCCTATGCTAACCGCAAGCTGCGCTTGTGGCAGCTGACAAAGTACCAACAACTCTCCTCTCCTTCCTCTCCCCCATTTCCCTCCCCTATGCTAACAGCAAGCTGCGCTTGTGGCAGCTGACAAAGTACCAACAACTCTCCTCTCCTTCAACACCCTCCACCTTCTCTTGCCCCCCCCAACAGCAAGCTGCGCTTGTGCAATCTGCTTCCTCCCTTCAACACCCTCCACCTTCTCTTCCCCCCCCCCAACCCCCACCCTCCATGCTTCCAGCAAGCTGCGGTTGTGGCAGCTGGTGGAGTACTCGTCGGTCATATTCGTGGACGCGGATCTGCTGGTGCTGCGCAATCTCGATCATCTCTTCGCCTTTCCTGACGTGTCGGCGCGAGGCAACGATAAGACGGACTTCAACTCGGGCCTCATGCTGCTGCGACCCTCCCTCTGCACCTTCCGCGAGCTGCTCGCCAACGTGCACACCATCCGCTCGCCCAACGGGGGTGACCAGGTGCGAACATGCATGGCTGTCGTGTTGGGACGGTTGGGAACGGTTGGGCATGGTTGGGGATGTTTGGTAATTAATTCCTGGTTCCCTTCCCGGCCAAATTCCTGTGGCACCACTTGCTCAATCACTCCCTCTTTCACCCATCCCCACCCCTCTCAACCTCTCAGGGCTATCTTAACAACATATTCACATGGTGGCACCGCCTGCCCAACTCATACAACACTCTGAAGCACATCTGGGCGTCCGACCCCCACGACCGAGCTCTCGAGCTGGAAATGAAGAACCGGTGGTTCTCAGAGGAGCCAGCGGAGATCCACACAATCCACTACCTCGGCCGCAAGCCCTGGCAGTGCTACCGCGACTTTGACTGCACGTGGCTGTACCCGTGGGACCATAAATTCGCTAACGAAGCAGCTCATAAGAGGTGGTGGGCCATGCATGATACCATGCCGGAGAGTCTGCAGCAGATGTGCTGGCTGAGGAATGAGGGTAAGACGGAGATGGAGTTTAGAATGAGGGGCCTTGAGGCGAAGAACGCGCCGCCGGGGTTTTGGAATTTCACAGTGACGGATCCGAGGAAGGATTATTGCTTCCCTGGGCAGAAGACTTGCATGTGGGAGCTGTAGCTGGAGCACTGGCAGCGGCGGTAGGGGCAAGGTGGTGGGGCTGCTACAAGCAGCACTAACCCGCACTATGTAGCACAAGCCAGCACTAGCATAGGTTGATATTTTCTGGGCAGAAGAACTGGAACTGGAATCGGCGGTAGGGTCAAAGCGGTAGGGCTATATGTGAAGTTGGGGTGGTTCATTCGGTGGTGATGGTGGAACTTAGAAAGCAGTATTCCTCTATCTGTGGAGCTGAGACAGCAAGCTGAGACGTGATTTGGAGCCATACTTGGAGCGATTCAAGAGGCGGGTCAAACCACTGACGGGCTAGATTATGTTAGAATTTGAAATGAGTTTGAAGGATCGTACTACTTAGGATGGGAACTTCTTGTCGTAGCGGAAGTCTTTATATGAGTTAAGCTAGTTGTGTAGGCTTTGTCTAGACTTAAAGTCTATGTAGTGATATGTTTCAGGATCAAAATGTCTCTGAAATCAGATATATTATAAATTGACAAACATACAAAATATATAGCTAGAATAAAGTACCTGTTCGCCTACTGTACTGTGCTGACGGTACGTAACTATTCGCGAAGTCTATAGCTACGTGCTGACGTCATCCTAGGTCGCGTAGCGCTTTGCTGACGTCAGCCTATCGGTACTTTACTGTACTACACGAATTTCCTTGAAGTGCTTTACGTCTCGATATTATCTCAACAGATTATAGGAGACGGCGCGGTCGTGGTCGCTACCTGATTAGGAGGCGCGTGGTGTGTGCCTGTGCTCTGAATGGTGGCATGAATAGGAGAAACGTTGCCAGTGGGAGATGCACCTGGGGTGATGGAAGCTGTGGTAGGGGCAACTAGAAGGGGCAGGGGAAGTACCAGTAAGAAAATCCAATCCAGGGATTTGAAGCTGAGAACTGTTGGAGAAGACGTGCTGCTGTGGGGAAAGACTGTGCCTGATGATGCCAGGTAGGGGATGAAGGACATGAGCTCCAATCGAGCCTCCTGAATGCGAAAGGCGATATGTTTACTAGGTGCGGAGAGGCAACTATGGAGTGCTCCTTTGGTGAGGGATGTGACAGGTAGAGTTAGAATTGCACGTGTGGAAGGAGGCCTGCTCCAGTGGCAATTCCTTGCAGAAATCTGCATGTTGCTGCAGTTCAGGCTTTGCTCTCGGGATGGCAAGCACGAGCGCTACTGTAGAAGATTGGTTCTGTATGTTAGAATTTGAAATGATTGAGTAGGATCGTAATACTTAGGATGGTAGCTTCCTGTCGTAGCGGAAGTCTTGTATGAGTTAAAGCTGTTAAGAATCTTACGGGAAAGTTGTTTGTCGACTATGGAAAGGGGAAGATACAAAGGAGAAACCTAAGGGGTTGTACCCCACAGTGAGTACCCCACTAAGCCTAACCAAACTATAACAAATATACACATATGTTTGACACACCCCCATAGGCAAAGTGGGGGAGAACAGAGGGTCACAAGACCAGTCAAGAAGTGCAAAGCAAGCTCAGGGTGGATCACAACGTCACCACGCAGTCTGAGCACAAGCAAGAAGGCCACAAGGCCAGTTCACATGCAGAAATATATATGTAACAACAACAGTACAGTGATATCTACCTACAAGAACAAGCATGCAGGAATACATATAAATCATGGTACAAACAAGGCCTACAGCAAGTGAGGAACAATGGGCACAAGGCCTAACAAAGTGCAGAAACGCTGATGATCACCAGGCGGAAGCGCCTTGGTGAATATATCAGCAGTGTTGGCCCGAGTGGCCACGTAGGTAAGACGAAGCTGGCCACGCTGCTGCAGCTCTCGAGCAAGAAAGTAACGGAGAGCGATGTGCTTTGTTCTGTGCTCCAGTCTGTGCTCCTGACACAAGGCAATGGCGGCCTTGTTGTCGACGTACAGAACTGGAGGAGAACGAGGCCTCTCTCCCAAGTCGGTCAGCAGGTAGGTGAGCCAGCGCAGCTCCTGTGCAGCCATGGCTGTGGCGTAGATCTCTGCCTCACAGCTGGAGCCGAGAACTGAAGACGAACGTGTAGAACGCCAGGAAACTGAACCAGAACCAAGGCTGAAGGTGTAACCCTGTGACGACCACTGCGTAGCCTGGTCGTCAACCCAAGAGGCGTCCGAGTGACCTGTGAGGACAACGTCACCCCGTCCTCCAAGCACGAGCCCCATGCCCGATGTACTGCACAAGTAGCGTAGTACCCTCTTGGTAGCATCCATGTGCACCTTTCGGTGCCGACCAGGAGCCACGTAGCGAGCCAGAAGGCCAAGAGGGTACGCAAGGTCAGGACGAGTGCAAGTCATCAGGTACATGAGGCAACCCACTAACTCTGGGTAAGGACCACTCGGCTCTACGGACTCGACCGAAGGTGGAGCTGAGAGCGAGTGACCTGTAGCCAGAGGAGTGGCCTGTGCTGAGGACCAGGTGAAACCGAAGCGCTGAAGGACCTGCTGCACCATGTGTGACTGAGTCAGTGTGATGGTGCGGCGTGCTCTATCCCGGATGATCTGCAAGCCAAGGTAGCTGCGCAGTTCACCCAGGTCTGTGCACGTGTGTCTCTTCTGCAGCTCCGACTTCACCAGGGCGAGAGCCTCAGTGTCAGCAGTGGCAAAGACCAAGTCGTCGACGTACACGAGAACGTAGAACGGCGGCAGAGAAGTGTCGGTGCGCAAAAACAGCGACGGGTCAGCAGTCGACGGAGCAAACCCAAGAGCCGCAAGTGTCGTCCTCAGTGTGTCGTGCCACTTACGTGGCGCCTGGCGGAGACCGTAGACCGGCCGCCGGAGGCTCCACTGGGTACCAGCAGGGAACGATCCAGTGAAGCCAGGAGGGCGGCGCAGCCAAATCTCCTCGTGCAGGCTACCCTGTAAGAAGGCTGTGCTGAAGTCAAGAGAGTGAAGCTCGTAGTCACACTGAGCGGCAACGTGCAGCAGCACCCGAAGAGTGGTCATCTTCGGGGTGGGGGAGAAGGTTTGGAAGAAGTCAACTCCCTCTCGCTGACTGAAGCCTCGAGCCACGTACCGAGCCTTGAAGACAGGCGGAGAACCTGGCGGCCGCTTCACCCTGAAAATCCACATGCCACTGACAATGTTCGCCCCAGGAGGGGGAACCTCGTCGACGTAGGTGCCTGTGGACTTCCAGGATGCCATCTCTGCGTCCATGGCTGTCTGCCACTGAGAGGAGTACTCACCCGCGATCGCCTCAGCGTAAGAGCGCGGGGTAGGGATGTCTGGTGCATCCGGGTCTCCCTCAGGGGCAAGCAGCATGGATACGAGATGAGGCGCAGCGGCTGCAAGACACTCAAGGTCCTCCTGTCTGTCCTCAAGGACGTCAGTGCCAAGAGCACACTCACCCCCGACGGACGGAGGACAGACAGACTCAGACTCAGCAACAAGACTGGCGGCGTAGTCGAGACGACAGGCAGCAGCAAAGTCAACAAGCTCAGCGACTAAGGCAGACGCAGTAGCAGACTCAAACGACGGGTCAGTGACAACAGTGGCAAGCAGACGCGTGACAGTAGAGTGCTCAGCACGAAACTGGTCAGACGCAGGGTCAGCAACGACAGGCAGAGAGGACGCAGGGGGAGACGGCAGAGGAACACGCAGCGGAGGAGAGGAAGGACGACGAACTACAAGGTGAGAGCCGGAGACAGCCGGCTGCCGCTGACGAGGAACACGACGACCGGAACGACCAGAACGGACAGGTGAGACAGGACGCGACGCAGGCTCACGACGCTCAGCAAGGCCCCTAGTCATCTCTGTGTACGGAGAAGGAGCAGGCAGCGGTGAGCCAGGCTGTAACGGAAGACCAGTAGACGAGGGAAGACTGAGAACCTGACGAAGTGCAGAGTCAGGTGGTGGCTGAGACGACGGAGACGGCGGAGCGAAGAACAGGCGCTGCTGAGCAGTGCCACCAGCACCAGCAGCTCCAGCACCTCTAGCAGCTCCAGCACCTCCAGCAGCTCCAGCACCTCCAGCAGCTCCAGCACCGCCAGTAGCTCCAGGACCCTCAGCAGGTCCAGCACCTCCAGCAGCTCCAGTACCCTCAGCAGCTCCAGCACCGCTAGTAGCTCGAGTACCTCCAGCAGCTCCAGCACCCTCTGCAGCGCCAGTACCCTCAGTCACAACACCGCCAGCCCCAGCAGCTCCAGTACCCTCAGTACGAGCACCGCCGGGACCAGCGACACCAGCAGAAGAACCCCCAGCAGTAGAGCCCTGAGGTGCAGAAGCGCGACGCTGACGGCGACCGTACCAGTCGTGCAGCTGCTGGGAGGTGAGGGGCACACGCGGAAGAAGACGGCTACTCCAAGGAGACCGCGGAAAAGCAGTCGCAGAACCCTCAGGCGACTCACCCCCAGACTCAGCACCCCCAGGCTCCGCACACGCAGGCTCAGCACCCCCAGACGCAGCACCTCCAGACGCAGCACCCCCAGGCTCCTCACGCTCAGCGCCCCCAGACTCAGCACCCCCAAGCTCCGCACCCCCAGGGACAGCACCACTCGCAGCAGGACCGGAGTCACCAGTGACCTCAACAGGCGCAGGCGCGGGGGGGTCTACCTGAGAGACACCTGAAGGAGCAGGACCTGGCGCGGGGAGGGGGTCTACCTGGGGAGGACCTGGGGCAAGAAAGAGCGGCGGGGGGGGGCGAGGAGCAGTGCGGTAGGGGAAGAGGCGGTAAAAGGGGACGGACTCGTCAAAGGTGACGTCATGAGACGCAAAGACACGGCGCGAGGCGGGGTCGTAAAACTGCCAGCCAGGCGCGTCAGGGACAAAGCCAAGGAAGACGCAAGGAATGGCGCGAGGGGAGAGCTTGTCCGCGGTGGTATCGCGGACAAAGGCACGAGCACCCCAGACCCGGAAACGCGACGCGTCGCCAACCTTCCCCGTCCACAGCAGTGTGGGCGAGGTCTCCGGCAAGGAGACACGGGGCCAAAGGTTGAGCTGATGCGCGGCGTACCGGACCGCAAACGGCCACAGAAAATGGGGGGCAGCCGCATGGATCATGGAGGTACGAGCGACCTCCATGACTAAGCCAATGCGGCGCTCAGCAACCCCATTCTGCTGAGGAGAGGCC